TCCCGCCGGCTGCTAAGGGCGCTACGGCTAACATCAGCTCGCTCCAGCACAAGCACCCGGAGGCGTTCTACGTGGTTGCAGGGGATTTAAACCATGTAAACCTGACAGGCACCCTGCCTAAATTTTACCAACATGTCAACATACCGACACGGGGAGATAACACGCTGGACCGTGTGTACACCAACAAGAGAGACACATACAGAGCCGTCCCTCACCCCCACCTGGGTTTCTCCGACCACATCTCCATCATGCTGGTGCCTGTCTATCGCCCCCTGCTCAGACACCACGCACCCACACAGAGGATCATCACAGTGTGGCCCAGTGATGCTGTCCCCATATTTTAGGACTGTTTCCAGTGCACGGACTGGCAGATCTTCAGGGAAGCAGCTTCGAAAGACTGGTCATAGCCCGCATCAAGGACTCCATCGACGTCACTGAGGACCTGAGGACTGAGTACGCATACAGGAACAACAGATCCACAGAGACTGAGGAACAGCTTCCTCCCTGAAGCTGTGAGACTGTTGAACTCCGGTGGACTCCTATAACCCCCCCGTCCCCCCCACATTGACTCTGCCAAATACCCCTACTCATGTACAATCGCCACTTTCTCTTTCTCTCTTGCACTACGCCGAACTATTCCCCTCTGTCACTTGTACTCGAGCCGGTACCGGGGAAACTAATTTCGTTCATCCCATGTCTAAAATGTGTTGCAATGACAATAAAGAACCTTGAGTCCTTGGAAAAAAAGGGCAGTGTGGCTGCAGGTTTTTGTTCCAACCAACCAAGAGCACATAGTTTGACCAATCAGCTGTCTGAAGACTGAGACCAGTTGATTAAACCTGTCAACTCAGGTGTGCTACTGCTTGGTTGGAACAAAAACCTGCAGCCACAGCGGCCCTTCGTGGAACAGTTTAGACACCCCTGAACTAGGTTAACACTGCCCCCTAGTGAAGGTATTGCTTAACAGCAATGCCAAATGTAAAGCATGCAGTACTGTATATGGACAGTGAAGTTTGGAAGTATGTACGTACAGAAAGGGAGCATAAAATAGGCTTTTTTTTTCCAGATGTCATCTGTATGCCACTCAGCAGGGTTTTTTTTCTCTTCGAATCAGTGATTTATTTTTCTCCTTTCCTTTAAAGCAAGGCGATAGGCTTGTTGTTGACTGGTGTGTTCAGGTACTGTGATGTCAGAGGGTCCTGGGAGGTGTAGGAGGTGTAGAGGCTTGTGACCTGTACGTCAGATAGCGGCAGGTTCACACCAGTGAGTGCTGGAGGGTTGTTGGTAGTTCCCAAGTCACAGTCTGATAATCTGAGGGGCGAGTTAGTGATGGTGCCCAATGCATCAAAGTTGAAGCTCCCATCTTTCATCTCTTCCCACAGATTACCTGAGCACATGGAGAGTGATGGTTACGTACTGAGGAGGCTTTTACACTAAAGTCTTTTAAATCAACACAGATCAACAACTATGCATTTTTCTTATGGACATGTGAACACACGGTGTTGAATTTGTACTTTAAATAACTCTATGACCTTACTTAATAAGCTTTGTCATCTTTTGTCAAAATACCCAATGTCTCAATAGGATCATTCTCTACTGTTAAAAATGTATCTAAAAATTATCTTTAAAAAGAAAAGAAATAAGAATGGTGGTGCTTTGGCCCAGAGGCAATGTCTCTGTCATTAGTGTGGAACCCCAGGGTTCACCTCCTGGGCAAGATCGAATCCCGGTTAGGGCGGTTGGCACCTTCCAGTGGACTCACCACTCGCTGGAAGGGTCAGGAGGGTTTGTACGGTGCAGTGTGATTTGGGTGGCGGTCATGGAGACTGCTGCCCCCGCGACCCGGTAACGGATAAGCGGATGAAAATGGATGGATGGATGGAAATAAGAGTGAGGCTGTATATGATTAGTCACACTCAGAACAATGTATCACTGTCACTGTCATCATGACAGTTATAAACATTGCTGACTTTGTGAGTAGTGAACAAAATCAGCAGTGTTGTGTGGTCAGGCTCTAGTTTGTAAACCCAGTATTCAAACAAGCAATGACCAATCACATTTATCCCTCTCTTCCCCCATTTCTCTTCACCCCCATTTTCCAAAAGGTGGTTTAATGCCATAGAGTGTTGTTTACCTTGAAAAGCAAAATCCATGATGCTGGGGTCCAGTGCATCCACCTCTGTGTTGGTGTCACTGTAAATGCTGTAGATGTCTTCTGGGTGTTTACCCAGCTGCTGACGGAGTGGACTTTGGGAAAGGTCAAGAACTGTGTCCAGGGGAGGTGTCTCGGCTGGTGCGGGGGACATGGGGGCCAGCCGAGCCTGGAGCTGGGCCTGGAACTGGTGGTGCTGGTGTAGGGGTAAATGTGGGAGGGACAGAGTGACTATAGACTGGGGATGCATCTGTGTGGGCACAGACCGGGTGAGTCCAGTTTGACTGCCAGGTAGTCTGGTCAGGCCAGGCTCTAGAATCTTCCTTCTGCAGTTCTCTGGACGGTCAGTGATCAGTTTGTCCAACTCTTCTACAGAGAGCAGAATAAAAGACTGATTAGACTTAAAGTCAATCTGTGTTGATATTTTTAGTTTACAGTTTTGCCCTTCTACTATATGGGGCTATAGAGCAACACTGTCGGACAAGACTGAAGAGAAACAAGTAGGGGGAAAACATTAACCTCATTTGACAATAAAGCAGCATTTCCACTGCTATAGTTTACTTCTTTGCCTTCTTCACTCCTGACAAAAAAATGAACAAACTCTTTGTGCTGATTAAGAACATGTGTGGGTCATACTAGAACAGCGTCCTTACTCAGGGTCTGTAGCCAATGTGGCTTCTTTTGTCATCAAAAGTGGTTCAGACTTAAAATGCTTAGAACTGGACATCTAAAAGTTAGGAGCCAGCAAATGAGTTTCCTCCATAATGTTCTGGTGTTTGTCCCTCATTGGGGAAAACATCCTGATTTGTAATTGTGTTTCCTATATTAATTGGGAACAACAGTCCTTTAGAAGCCAGTGGTTTTAAATAAAGTTCAATAAAGTTTAGAAGAAAAGGTTCTGAAGCTGTCAACATGAAGGAGGCTCAACAACAGTCCCAGGTACAAAATGTGTAGAAAAGGGGATTTTACACTTTTCCCTCTGTGACCTGACCTTTGACATGAACTCTTTTGGTCAAATTCAAACTGTATGAGATTTATAATCTTACTGTGTTAAGAAACAAATAGAACTGTACAGAGCTAAAAGTTTAAACCAACTGTGGTAAGTAAACTTGTCTAACACTTCTTTGATTGTGAGAGATTTTCATTAACATTTCAACATGAGATATTATGGCTTAGGTATAGTTTGTTTGTGACTGATGCGTGAAGACATTTTGGTGGGAGAGTGTACATCTCACCAGGGTTAGCCATGCTGCGGCGGATGGCTGGCAGGTCCTTGCGTTTCCACTTCTGCATCTCTTCCTCCATCTTGTCAATTTTGGCAGGGTTCAGCGCCCACAGACAGCCCTTACGGGAGGAACTGCTCATCTTGTTCTCCACCTTCTCAAAGCACTTGTTGAGGGACAGATTGTGTCTGACTGAGTTCTTCCATCCATCAGGTGCCGTCTGCAGAGAGAAAGAATTAATGAATAATCAGCCCAGTGTCGTTCCCTTCTAGATTTGACATGTGATGTTGATAGTTTTTTGTACCTTAAAGTAGGGGAAATGTTCTTTCATAAAGCTATAAATCTCACTGACTGGGAGGCTGCCAGTTTTGCTGTTTTTTAGAGCCATGGCAATCAGACAGCTGAAGAAGAAAATGGGTTTAAATTACATCTGTTTACAATATAAAAGATGGGAAACAACAAATATGTACATAATTAGTAGGGATGTCCAATATTAACTTTTTGTATATCCGATATCTGATATGCCAATATTGTCCAAACACTTAATTTCCGATTCCGATATCAACTGATACCAATATAGCAGGGCAGTGGTGGGAGTTATTTGTCAAAACCCAGGCATTGTGTTATCAGGTTTTTATTATCGGAGGAAAAACCAATATAAATTCTTACAGATATTACAAAATATGCTAATATTGGGCCGATAATATCAGTTGGCCGATATTATTGGACATCCCTAATAATGAGTTATCTGTGTGTTAGCTGACCTGTAGGAGTAGATGGGTTTGGGGAAGGACTTGGGCTGCAGCTCCTGGTCCTGTGGAGCCAGCTGAGGTTGTGAGTAAAGACTTTGGTCACGGAAGGGGACATTGCTGTAAAGCCCAGTTGTTGAACACTGGTTAAAAAAAAAGATGGAAAATGCAAAAGATAGGAAATAATTATAATCTCTTCTGTGGCATTTGTTTTCCCCCGACCTAAAATATTCAGGTTCATTAGCCACCGACCTGTTGTCCAGTTTGGGTTAGAGAGAACACCGGCTGAGGTGTGGGCTGGTAGACTGAGGAAGGGCACTGGTAAGCTGGAGAAGGAAGTCCATTCATAGAGAACGGAGACATCTGTGGAACAAACACAAGAGTGACTGCTTATAGAAAGCAATACACAACATGAGTATTTCTCATCTTGAATTGCTATGAAAACGCACACTTCCACTATGTGTGTTGACCATGCTGATGGCCAAAGGGCTGTGCTGCATGGAGCTCTGCAGCATGGAGCTCTGTCCTGTTGGCATGGGCAGACTGCTGAGCTGAGCTGTTAGGAACACAGGAGGAACAGGCAGAACAAGAGATTTTAATATGTACTCCATTTGATAACACATCTGATTTATACAGTCATCTTACATTCTTTAGTATTAGTTAAGTACAGTACTATTAATTACTTGATAAAAAAATTAAAAGACATGGAACAGCATGAGCAACGGAAAATGTCAAAACATTGAAATAAAATATAATTAATACTGTACATTTGAATGGGATACACAGTAATAGTGGATGGTTGGGATGATGATAGTCACATATATTAAATATTTATGATATTTATGTAATTGGCAATCCATTTATTTGATTAATGTTCAGTTAAATGCATCTTTGTGTTTTTGTTTGGTTTATTTTGTATTTCTTAATTATAAACATTATCACAGTAGTTTTCATATAAGCATTGGTTATAAAGAAAGCAGGATAAACATGTCATATAAATATGGGCAATATAAATAAGGTGTGAGATTTGATACGTTTAGGTAATATTTCTGTCATATATTTATTAATTTATATATTTAACTTTATTTTTCTCTCTTATTGATATTTTGCTAACTGCATTTAGAACCAAAGTTATTCCACAGAGCCTGCTGTAGCTCAGAATTATGAGACGTGTAGCAGCTATCATTTATATCTGGGCATGGATCCTGATGTTGTTGTCACTCAGATTATTTGCTGTATCAGATTACAGAACTCACTTATCAGTCAACAGTCACTTTGATCTCGGGGTACATTCTTCATCAGTTTTGAAATGTGCTTTGGGTTTTTTGCTTTTGTTGGAAGAGAAAAAAGGAAGGAGAAGAGCCTGACAAAATTTTACTTCTTCCTTGCAGTTTCAACAATATTCTCCAGGTTTCACTGTGTCCTTTATAATATTTTAGTTCCAGACTAAACTAAAATCTTTCCCCAGTGTCTTTTCTAGTTTTTTATTTGGGGGTTGAAATATTTAGTTTTCTACTTCTATCAGGTACCGTGTGTTACCATCTGTTTAAATGTTTTAATAATTTAGTGCTTTTGCTTTGTTAGTTGTAAGTCAATGATGCTTTTGCGTGTCAGACCAGGCCCTGACCTTATTTAAAACATAAACCACAATTTTTTTCAAGGGTTATTATATTATTAAAATAATTGGTGGCAGGTTTTGTGAAAATACTTTTTTTCCTATATGCAATGAAATGTACAAAAGCTTCCTAATCAAAACATCTCAGAGCAAACACCCTGAGATGCAGCTGTGTTCATATCTGCGGGGGGGCAGTAAATTCAGAAGAATCCAGGGCTGCTGTCCAATCAAAGAGATGATGTGGATTTTTAAATTATGCACTGTCCCCCTCCCTGACATCTCACCTGTCTGCTGCTCCAGCAAACTGCCCTGGGAGGGCCCGTTATTGTGGCCCCGGCTATCAGCGATCTGCTGTATTCTGGGCACATCTACGGAGGTGAGCCACGACAGAGACTGTAGATCCTCAGGGAGGTCCTCTTCCCTCAGCTGGGAGGGATCTGTGGTCAGAAGCCTGCAAGGTAAGGGGGGAGGGGAGAGATTGCTTGGTTGATGGTTGTTGTTTGGTTGGTCGGAGAAGTGTACAAGATTTTAAATGTAAACGCTGGAGTGTTCTGTCCTTCAATGTCAAAACCACCAATTTCAGAATCAAAAAATGAAGACATAAATCTACAAGGTGAAGTCATTGAAGCTGTTTGATTCAGGTTTTAGCTCAGGAGATTATCTGTTGAGCAGTGGTGGTGAAAATGAACAATGAAAGCTTTTCCTTCCACAAAAAATCATCTGGTTATCATTGTGAAATCGATCCTAGAATAAAATGGACATTAAATTATTAATTTAAGTCCACATTTCAAAATTCTCCCCTCAGTAATTTTACCAACTTGTTATTACTATTTTACGGAGCAACCCAAAATGTTCAAAGGGCCATAGTGGACCAAAAAAACAAAAAAGAAACCTGTCTGGAGCCGGAAAAAATTAAAAGCCTTATATAAGCCTTATATGAAGGCAACACAGCTGTAAGTGTACATCTTACACTTACAGCTGTGTTATACACTGTATAAAAAAACTATAGTGTGTTGCATTTATGAAATCAATGAACTGCTGCAGAGAACACAGAATTGTGTTTCTGCATGTAACAAAAACATTTTGAACTTGAAAAAAAGACACATGGTGCCGGCGCCTCTTCTTTTTAGTACTTTCAGCGCACAATACCGCAGCAAATCAATAGGGCAGCCTTCTTCTTTTTGTCTAGCATGTTGCTAATAACCGGCGTCGGAGCTTTAACATAAATCTTTATTGACAGTTGTCAATAGATAGGACAGTCAGCTGGGGCCGACGGGCCCTTTTCACCCGCACAGCTGCTCGTGTTCGATGATCAGACCGTACAGTGTGAGTACATAAATCGTGAGCTTTGGCCGTACATCGTAGACGATTACTCGTACAGTGTGTGATGGTATCAACGACAAGTTTTCAAAAATCGTACAGTGTATGCCCGGCCTAAGCTGACGTCTGTGAGGCGTGAGCGATATTTGTTTTTAATATACAGGGAGTGCAGAATTATTAGGCAAGTTGTATTTTTGAGGATTCATTTTATTATTGAACAACAACCATGTTCTTAATGAACCCAAAAGACTCATTAATATCAAAGCTGAATATTTTTGGGAGTTGGAGTGGGGCTTTTTTAGTTTTAGCTATTTTAGGAGGATATCTGTGTGTGCAGGTGACTATTACTGTGCATAATTATTAGGCAACTTAACAAAAAACAAATATATACCCATTTCAATTATTTATTTTCACCAGGGAAACCAATATAACAGCTCAACATTCACAAATATACATTTCTGACATTCAAAAACAAATCAGTGACCAATATAGCCACCTTTCTTTGCAAGGACACTCAAAAGCCTGCCATCCATGGATTCTGTCAGTGTTTTGATCTGTTCACGATCAACATTGCGTGCAGCAGCAACCACAGCCTCCCAGACACTGTTCAGAGAGGTGTACTGTTTTCCCTCCTTGTAAATCTCACATTTGATGAGGGACCACAGGTTCTCTATGGGGTTCAGATCAGGTGAACAAGGAGGCCATGTCATTAGTTTTTCTTCTTTTAGGCCCTTTCTTGCCAGCCACGCTGTGGAGTACTTGGATGCGTGTGATGGAGCATTGTCCTGCATGAAAATCATGTTTTTCTTGAAGGATGCGGACTTCTTCCTGTACCACTGCTTGAAGAAGGTGTCTTCCAGAAACTGGCAGTAGGACTGGGAGTTGAGCTTGACTCCATCCTCAACCCGAAAAGGCCCCACAAGCTCATCTTTGATGATACCAGCCCATACCAGTCCCCCACCTCCACCTTGCTGGCGTCTGAGTCGGACTAGAGCTCTCTGCCCTTTACCGATCCAGCCACGGGCCCATCCATCTGGCCCATCAAGACTCACTCTCATTTCATCAGTCCATAAAACCTTAGAAAAATCAGTCTTGAGATATTTCTTGGCCCAGTCTTGACGTTTCAGCTTGTGTGTCTTGTTCAGTGGTGGTCGTTTTTCAGCCTTTCTTACCTTGGCCATGTCTCTGAGTATTGCACACCTTGTGCTTTTGGGCACTCCAGTGATGTTGCAGCTCTGAAATATGGCAAAACTGGTGGCAAGTGGCATCTTGGCAGCTGCACTCTTGACTTTTCTCAGTTCATGGGCAGTTATTTTGCGCCTTGGTTTTTCCACACGCTTCTTGCGACCCTGTTGACTATTTTGAATGAAACGCTTGATTGTTCGATGATCACGCTTCAGAAGCTTGGCAATTTTAAGAGTGCTGCATC